GCCTTCTTCAGCAAACATGAAGATCAGACTCCAAACTCTATGCCTGGCTTAGCTGTGGGCTTCCCTCTCTGTCCTTCCTTCGCTGAACCTTTTATGATTTTTGGTTTTGCCTGTGAATTTTGCCCTGTTATTTTATTGAAAGTTCCCATCCTCCATAATAGACCATTATGGCATAACATCAACAATATTCTGATTATGGGATTTTGCCATAAATCCTATATCCTTATGTTTTCTCACAATGATGCTCCTCCCCCAAGCCTGCCCATGCTTGTTGGTTAGAAATCTCTACTTCTCGTTGAAGTCATGGCCAAGTTCTTTATCATGTTTCCCATGGCCCATCTTATACCATCTTAGCAGGTGTTTATACATTTTCCTTTACTGTTATGAATTGGGCCAGTAATTTCAAAATGAAGGTAACAGCAATAACAACTACTCTAACTACCTTTCTTAAGATAAATCTCTCTTGATAAAATACTTCTGTGAGGCTGAGAAATTCTTCACTATATCCCATGACCCAGGGGTTGATATTGTCATTATCCCATGAGGGAGATAAGAACTTGAAGTGCAACTTTACTAGGTAGCATTTAAGCCACCCAGGCGTAGGCAATGGAGCCCAGAATGTACACACACACACACACACACACACACACACACACACACACACACACACACACACGCCTGACTCCAAAGCTGAGTTCTGAAATTCTGCAGGCTGTCACTATTTGGCCTTAACCCTGACATCTAATATTAACACATAGTCACTCCCCCACTCCCACAGTTCATTTCCTAGTCACTCTCTCTGCTTTTTGTTTTTGTCTTGTTGTGAATTATTTGAAAGAGGGTATCACTCTACAGACTAGGCTGGCCTTTGTCTTCATGAAGTCTAACCTTGCCTACTTTTCTGATCTCATTTGTAAGCTCTCTCCCCTACCCATGATGCTCCGGCTTTTCACTGAGCACACCCATGCTTCAAGACCAGGCCATCTGCTGTTTCTTTCCCAGATGCTTGATAAGGCTTCCTCGGGTAGGTTGAAAGCTCCTTCCCAGGCTGGGCAAAAGGAAGAATGGCAGTTCAGCTTCCCGCTGACTGCTTAGCTTCTTAACCTCCATCACTAGCTGGAATCATACAGTTTACTTATATTCTTTGTTATTATCTGTGACTCCAGATTTCATACTAAAATGCAATCCGTGTGAAGACAGAGACTCTCAGCAGCACCTACAGTAAAAGAAGAGTTGTCTGACACAGGAAAGCATTGGTACCCATCTACTAACTTAATGGACTCATATCATCTGTAAACTGAAGGTCCCAGGAAAAAAAAAGAAAAGCCATACCTGTGCAAAACACTCTACAAGAAAACGACTGAACTTGAAGATTACAGGGAGTTAAAATGTAGCAGACCAGAGCAAAATTATCTTAGGCTATTTTTAGTCCCTTTGAAAGTCGCTCATTGCCCACTCATGTAATGCGTCTAACCTAATGTACTGTAACTGTTAAGGCCTTTAAAATGTTTAAAAATCTTTAAAAAGCTAAAGATGTCATCAGACAGTATCTGTAACTATGGCAGAGGCTCTCCTGCTTTGCTGCGACCTATCTACTTGTGGTTCTCAACAATGCATCCGGTAAATACTCCCATTTATGACCTTCTTCGTTCTGTAACTAATAAAATTTCATGTGACCAATCCACAGTGAGCATGTCTCTTGGGGCAACATGAATATGTGTTGTTAGCACATGCCACTCACATTTGACTTACGCACAAGCTAGCTCTATTCCTTTTGAGATGTAAGCTGTGCTTACATTGAAACATCACATGGCCAACTTCAAAAAACGACTACCAATAACCAAACAGGAAATGCACTGCCAAGCCTCAATGCCTGTCCCCAAAGGACACATGTTGTTAAAGGATGGGTCCCCTGCCTGTGGCATTACTGAGAAGTGGTAGCACCTTTAAGAGGTGGGTCCTGGTGGGAAGAAGTTAGTCACTGGGAAAGTCCCTTCAGAGGAGGCAGTGGAACCTCTCCACACCACACAAAGCACCCCCAAAATGAATGAATCTCCTCCAGCGCAAATTAGTACCACCATGTACCATGCCATCAAAGGCCCAAAGCAATGGGGCCGATTGGTCAAGAACAGAGACAATTTTAAATCTTGTATTCAATACCCAGGCATGAGTCAAACATTCATTAAAGGAAACAGGTACAAAGATAATTATTTGTCATACTTTACAATGTAGAAAAAAATTTCCTAGATAATAAAGCACTAAGAATGTTGAAATTTGAAAGAGCACAAGTGTCTTCTATTATAATTTAAAATAAATAATAACTATAGACCATGATCCAGAAGGGCATTTCACAAGCACGTCAAAAAGAAATCTTGGAGTATACATCATGTAAGACAAACTTACATTAGCCCATACCCAAGAGATGATAAAAGACAGAAACATGGGTAAGAATGTATAAAACTATGATGATACATGGCATGTGCCTCTGAAAAAGTTCTCCAAGCTAGAACTTCAAACTTTCTGCCACTCTTTCCATCCCTCCCACTCATCTGTTACCGTGTATGTATCTCCTCCAACTACCTTCTTCCTTTCCCCTTCATGGGATAGATCACCTTCATAACTACCTTCTTATGCTCATCTACCCAATCTTTGTGTGTTTGCTCAAGCCTGATGTAAGACTCCTGAGTTTACTTTTGAAGCACATACACCACAAACACACACACACACACACACACACACAACATAGCTCATTCTTTACTGGACAGTGGAAAAGAACATGTGGGAAATTGACAATATATTTTCAAAGCCAGAAAACAGCAATGAATGGTTAAGTACTCAAATTCTGAGAGGAGAGGGGAGATTGTCTGACCTGATATACACTCAGTGAAGCACTATGTAACCACTAGGGCTTCAGCTCCATGTAGAAAAATACCACCTGGTGCTGCTCCCAGCATGCTCTCTGCTAGTCAATGTATCTCAACATGAATGCCCTCTTCAGTACTTAACCCACCGCCGAAACCTACCCACTCGAGAATCCTGGGCTGCAAGGCTTCTTTTCCTAAGCACAACCCAATGCAGAAATTGCCCACAAACACGGCAATTATGTTGAGAAACACAGGGAAAGGAGCCACCTTCTGCCTGCAGAATTAGGAAGCACCTTAATTAGTGTGCCCAAAGAGTCTGCCTGAAGAGCCAAATTTTCCAACTCAGATAGATGATAGCTATCATGAAAACAATTAATTGGACACATGAAATGCCACATATAAGATGTGGTGATATCAAATCACTAAATAGTCTCTAGGAGTTTAATCAACTTACACCCTTTCCTTACTACAGACTCACACCTAAGCAGCCCAGGCCATCATCTTGGAACCACACTCCCAGTAACAAAAACTAATATCCTAAAATCCTCCACAAAATTCACCTCTGTAGAACAGATACTGACCACACAGGTCACTAGCTCTCTAGTGGCCCATCAACAGAAAGGATCTGGCAGGTGTCCTATGACGAGGGATGGCTGATATATTCTTGGCACACAGAGTATGGTCTAAGAGCCATGATGACTGACTGTGAGATGTCGCTCAATCTCTAAGCACTCTTCATCTCAGCTCATCCTGCAACACTGGATGACTACTCTCATGGGGCCTTGGGATGAGAAGTCACACTTCCAGTCCCCAAGGCAACAACAATGGACTCGCACAGAGAGACTGGCAGCACAGTGGTCCATCAGAAGTGGGGCACACTTACGCTCTCTGGAACTCTGGGATGCTAAAGATGGCCTGCATGACAGAACTGAGGTAGCAACTATTGCCCAGGTTCTTCAGGCCTGTGTACCCTGGTCCATACATCGGCTTCAGCTTAGTCCCCGATTCTTGGATCACTTCCCACTCACTGACTCTTGGCTTGATGTCATTGTCCCGGAGCCCATTCTCTGTCTGAGACATCATTAAAGAGAGAGAAAAGAAAAGGGCTTTAAATGGGAGTCACAATCAAAACTTATGTCTATGAATTAATTCTATGTAATGGTTATTTCTGCCATTTGCCTCTAATTACATGGAGAAAATGAATAATTATTTAAAAATATTAAGAGAAACAATGATGATTACATAAGAATGTAAATGTACTTAATGTCACAAGAAAGTATACTTTAAATTAGCTAAAAAGACATATATATATATATATATATATATATATATATATATATATATATCCATAATGTTTTAAAACATGAAAAGGTTTTGGGTTTTGTTTTGTTTTTCAGGAAAGAAAAAGAACAAGAAGGAATGAGGCAGGAGGCATACAAAAAAAAAAAAAAGAGTCAACACATGAAAGAGGCATCTTAAGCACTTCCAGAGCATGAGTCAAGTCCTGGGTCCCATCCCCAGCACTGCTGTGGAATATTATTTTAAGATGTGTTACATTCCTTTATGCTGTGGAATATTTATTTAGTGATGCAAAGCAGCTGTGTTCTTTTATGTCGCATTTGTTTAGCTCTGTGAAGCTGTCATACTTTGTCTGTCTAAAACACCTGATTGGTCCAATAAAGAACTGAATGGCCAATAGCAAAGGAGGAGAAAGGATAGGCGGGCTGGCAGGGAAAGAATAAATAGGAGAAGCAATCTGGGGAGAGAGGATGAAGTAGCAGGAAAAGGGGCCAGCCACCCAGCCGCACAGCCAGGCAGGGAATAAGAAGTAAGAAAAGATACACAGAAATAGAGAAAGGTATAAAAGCCAGAGGCAAAAGGTAGACAGGATAGTTTAAGTTAAGAAAAGCTGGCTAGAAAATAAGCCAAGCTAAGACTGGGCATTCATAAGAAAGAAAAGATTCTGTGTGTGTATTTATTTGGGAGCTGGGTTGCAGGTCCCCCAAAAGAACCAAAAAAAAAGTAAATAAAGCAACCAACCACACAGCACCACATAGCCTAGACATGGTGCACACTGGTAATCCCAAAACTCATGAGACAGGAAGATCCCAAGTTCATGGTCGTTTTCAAATACAAAGTGAGAGGCCACCTGAGGTCACCTGAGACTCACAAAAACTAAAAGCAGGCCAGGCGGTGGTGGTACATGCCTCCTAGCACTCGGGAGGCAGAGGCAGGCAGATCTCTGTGAGTTCAAGGCCAGCCTGGTCTCCAGAGTGAGTGCCAGGATAGGCTCCAAAGCTACACAGAGAAACCCTGTCTCAAAAAACCAAAATAAATAAATAAATAAATAAATAAATAAATAAATAAATAAATAAAAATTAAAAAAAACCTAAAAGCAAACAAACAAAACCTAGGTAGCAAGACAAGAGAACAATACAGGACTTTCTGTAAACGAAAAGGCAAGAAAGGGAGAGGGGAAGGTGAAATGAACAACTGGGGCTTTGGAGCACCTGAGAGAGGAAGGAAATGAAAGGGAGCACATAGACAGAGTGCTTGCCTGGGAGGGAGAGAATACAGCCCCACACTGAAACAGGCCTCACAGGCTAAACTACTCCATCATCGAGTTGAATGACATCAGGTTGAAACAAGCAGTGAAGCAAAGCTTCATTATTCTACCACTACCCAACAGCCCTCATCGCCTTTTGGAAATTAATTAAAGTAATGTAGGACACATATTATTTTAAAGCTCATCATCCCGTACTTTCTCCCTCTAGTGATAAAAAAGAGGGATTTATGCATCCACCCACCAAAGGAGACAAAATTTTTGCAAGTAAACCCCAAATAAACCAAAACTTGATAAACACCAAAATTCTAAGTTGGTAACCCAAATGAAATATAATAAACTAAATTCAACAAACTAATGCAACAATTAAAGCAAAATCTACAAAGATGCAGAATTAGTAGAAGTCTATATTAACTAAATGAAAGAACCCACACACACACACCCATCACACAGTATAGAATTAGAGACAAAAGATTTCCTCACCCCGTTTGTATGAAGCATGTCGATCCCGAAGTGTGCTAAGTGTTTGGCCAAATGAGGATCCAAAACAGGTCCCTCTTCTTGAAAAGAATAAACATCTGGAGGGCAAAGAGAAAACAGCGCTAAGGTCTGTCCATGACATCCATGCAACACTAAGTATATGCTGACTGAGCCTACAGAGGAGCTGGGTGTACCAAAGATCAGCCCACAAAAAACAGACATAATAAATATACATATTTTATAAGCACAGAATTCTTTAGAAAGTCTCAAAGACTTAAGAAAAAATGGCTTTTCTAAAGCCAAGTGAGGGGAAAGAGCTGGAGGTAAGATAACTTCAAAGAGATAACTATGAACAACTAACTAACCTTTGGACTTTGTAACTAATACCCATGAAGGCATAATTCTAAGGTTGGGAAGCAGAGAGAAAAGGGGTGGTTAGAGAGTGACAGCCATCTGCCAGGGCAGAAGACCCATGGCATAGATGGAGTATACAGACCCTGAGGTGCAGCTGAAAGGTGAGATGTGGTCATACAGGCTTCTGTCTCTATCTTTGGGGGCTCTGTGCCTCTCCTTTCCCTTGGCCCCTCTCTCTTGCTGTAGTGTCTATGATTCACAGAGGTAGTGAGAGATGAAGTGAGAATGCAGACCCATGCAGCTTCCCAAGATGCACTCACCTATCAGTCCACATTAGAACTGAGAGGCAGGCATGCTCACTCTGTGACTCACACCAGAACTGAGGTGGGCAACTTCCATCACCCATGACACCACTGAGAAAGTAGAGATGTACTCACTCAGAGCTTGTGCTCCGGGACTGAAGTGATATGCTCACTCTGAGGCCCACACTGGACCTGGAGAAATGGACACATGCTTACCCTAGGGTCTTACACATGTACTGAGGAGGCAAGTGACTGAAGTCTCAAATGCTATTCCCCTATGACTGGTGCTGGAGGGCGGTGATATTAATTCAAGATATTAGTATCCACAGGATAGCATAATGTTTTGGGTAAAGCCCTACCAAATGTATAGGGCCTGGACCAGGAGTCTGCCGCTCCTTGGAAATGAAGGCTCTGGGCCCCACCCCAGATTTGCCCAATCAAACTCTTATCACTGTTATCAATAAGACCCCAGAGACACAAAGTTTCAGAAGCTCTGTAGAGCCCTATCTGTCCTGAGAGAGCAATGCAAGGAGGGAGAAGAATGCCCATTTCCTGTGTCTCATGGAGAGCCTAATAAAGGATAAATGATTTGTCCTCACATCTCCCATGTGGCCCAGAACCCTGGTGTCTCACTCCTGTCCCATCCACTGCCTTCTATCTCAGTATATGCAAGCTATCTCAGGACATGGATGACGAAGCGCCATCCAGGTACATCCTAGGAATGGAGACCCCACACCACAGTCTCTTTCCTCCTAAATTTGGAAAATAAAATGCTATGAGAAAAGTAGATACAAAGACAATATTCTTTAGGACAGTCTCTTCAGTACTGCCTAAGGAGTTTTCTATTCCTGGGGCCACTGTGGAGGACTGAGAGGGAGAGATACTATGTAGATGCTATGATGCTAGGGTGATCCTCTGACCTACATCAAGCTAGGTGGAGACTCACTGCCGGGCAATGGTAATTGGCCTTCCTGTCACAAGCAGATTGGTAGTTGTAGAGATTTCTCTCCTACACTTTTTATTGTGGGTAGCAGCTTTCACTGATGCCTGCTTCACCATCATTCGAGTGTCCTCAAAAGCAAAATCAAAAGATGAAATCCCCCAACTCAGTTAAGACGGTTTCCAGAGACTAGTGGTCTATGAAGCCTGAGATACAATGGAGACTGTCTCTGTGTGAAACCTAAAAGATTCAAAACAGGAAAAGACTTTATCACAGAGACAGAAGTAGAGAAGACTGTTAAAAACCCACGAAGGAAGAGAAAAGATTCTGGAAAAGAGTAAAAACAACAAGTTTCCAAAAGGCTTAAATTTAAAAAAAAAATGCTTTCTGAGCTAACAATTTGAAACAAATACATTAACATTTTTAATCAATGCAGGAGAAGAAATAGAAACATATGAAATGCTTGCCAGAATGTGAAAATGACAGTCCTAAGGTACTTCTACTCTACTCTCTTCAACTGGTGAGACAGTTTTGAAAGCTTAAGTCACAGCTCTATTAGAAAACAATGAAACTCCTAGAATCACCTCCCACCCCACAGTGACAATGCCCTGATCCTGAAAGAAGTGAAAAATCACACGGCCTCCAATAGATTTCTCACATTAAGGAAATACCATTTCCTACCCCAGGTGGCTAAATGTCCAAAGATAGCACATGACTTGGTCAATATGATAACCATTTCTTTTGCCAATAACAAAACAATTCAGGGAGTTCAGTACCAGAAACTGAAAATGAACTTGATTTCCTGTGGCAATGATGAAGAACTGTACAAGTGATGCATAATGTACTCAGATGTGAATGCTGCTCCCAGATTTCCACTGGAAAAATCACTTGACCTCCCAATTCAGCTCAGCAAAACTGCCTTAGAACTATCATAGCATAGAAGTATTGCTGATCGGGATGCTCCCACATGAAAGGTTCAGGCATTATGCTGGCCTGTCTCTGTTACCTGTCGGAATCCGTTCAGGCAGTACCCAGTCAACCCAGGGGTCCATGAGAACTAAGTCTGCAAGCAGGTGCAGAGGACCTCTTTAAAAGACAGACCCCTGCCCATTTACTCTCTCTCTCTCTCTCTCTCTCTCTCTCCCTCTCTCCCTCTCTCCTCTTCTCTCTCTATGCTCCCACTTACTCTGCTCTCTCTCTCTCTATGGCAACCAGCCATGGCGGTCAGCCATTAACCCTGTTTCTCTTCTCTCTTCGTCTCTTTACTCTGATGGGCCAATAATAAACTGCTTAATATGTCTCTTAGTCTCAAGTCTCATCCTGTGCCTCTTCCTTTTCTTCTTTATTTCTAATTTAAACAAAAATCTAACACCACACTCCTTGCTGTGGCCCAAAACCTGAGTAGAAGCTGCAGTGATGAAGCCCAGGGAGAGGCTCCTGGGACAGTCCAGACAGTGCTCAGTATTAGCTGAGGTGGGTTACCGTTCAATGATAAAGTAAGCCAAAGAGCCAGAGGGTTCAATCCGCATGGGAGGAAAAAAGGAGAAAGTTAGAGTAGGAATGCCCCATGCATGTGAGAAGCATGTTATAAAATAATTTCGAATGACAGAGAAGAAGCAGGCTAGTAGCAGAAATGGCCACTGGGACTGAGTGAAACAAGAAAGGGATCTGCAAGAAATAACCAAAACCTGAATAGAAAGATTTGTTTTACTTTTTCTCTCTATTTTCTCATATTGATTGTAGTATTTTAATTGAAAAATACACACATGGACTGGAGGTGTCTCGAAGTTGGTAGCATGATTACCCAGCATGCATAAAGTCTTAGGTTTGTCCCTCAGCACTGCATTATCCAGGCCTAGCAACACAAACCTGTTAATCACAGCATTTAGGAGGAAGTGGCAGAAAAAGAGGCATCAGGAGTTCAAAGTCATCCTTAGCTATATAGCCAGCTCGGGTTACATGAGACTCTGTTTTGTTTTTAAGTTTATAAGTAATTCTCACAACTTAAAACAATTAGCTTACCTAGTATGTTCTTAGGATCCAGAGACCTCTAGTCAAACTTGTTCAGCCACATTGATTAACTCACTCATTCATTATAGTCAACAAACACAACTGAACACAAAATACACACATATAAGAAGGCACACTGCTGGGTGGGTAAGATAAGCAGGGCCATTGCTCTTGTGAATTTAAAGTCTAATATCCAAAACCGTCTTGGAAGTAATGCTAGACAGTGGTGAAGGACCACAGGCACCATCTTAGAGAAGGTTTCTTTGTGTGACCCACGCTCTGAACCTCAAGGAAGATCTCATGCTCACAAAGGAACAACCACATAGTTCCACTGCTGGGCCCCCAACTTAAGAGAGAGAAAACCAGAGACCATGTCAGCTACCAAGGAGGACAACAAAGGCTAAAAAAAAAAAATACAAGCTGATCCACAGAGCCGTACCTCCCATCAAGAGCTACCTGTGTCCCACGGGCTATCTACCATCAACAGAAAAGAGAAATGACAGGCTGTTCCAGGAATTGCACTAGAAAAATAAACACAAAATGGGTGTACCCACAGCATATGGCCATCCCAGGGGTAAGCAAAACCTACACTGAAGTCAGGAAAGGAAGCCTGCTGAGATTAAGACATCACTCAATACAAATAAGGAGCGCCATTACTCTATGTGCTCACTGCACAAATCCTTACCGAGCAGCTACTATGTCCAGGGAGCTAGAAAAGATGGTAGAGCTAGAGAACACAAAGATGGTGTTCAAGCTCCGTTGTGTCCCCGACTACCTCAGTTACCTATCTGCCACAGGGTCCTATAAAAGCTCCCCTGGGAAACAGCACAAGGTGCTTCCAGCATCTCAGAAGAGGACAAGCCAGCTTAAAGCTAATATAAAGTAACCAAAGCCTTGATTCCAACCCTGCAGGCTGTGAGAAATGTAAAGGATGAAAAAAAGCCAGAGAAGGAAGGAAGGCCAAGGTGAGGAGCCATTCGGCTGGCACACCCAGTGAGATGAACCGGTTCACAGCTGCCTTGGGCATCTGGATAGTCTGTGTGCAGACATCCTGGCACAGAAGTACGTTCCCAGGTAAACAAATGGCTTCCGTGACTGGATTAAAACAACCCTTTTCCACCTCCAGGTCATCTTACCCCCTTCCTGACAAGAACCCTCCTGGCTTGGACAGCAGGGTGTCTCCTCCCACACGGGAGAGCTTGGTTTGTTTGTCTGGTAATCTGGTTCTTGTTTTGTTTGTACTGTACCCATGGGGACCCAAACTAGAATTGGATACAGGGTCCATTTTTGTGGAACATGCCATCACTTTGGCCTAGCCTGGTGGGTCAGGGCTTCTTGGGAAAGTGAAACCCTAAGCAGAGGCCTTAACAATGAAGAGGGTCTCACTGAGCAGGTACAATGTCACTGGGAACGGAACCAGGGTGGGCAGACCAGGACACCACTGGATATTTGAATGCACAACCTTAGATTCCATGTCCACCAAGCAATCTTC